TAAGTCATCATCATATCCGAATACTTCGGAGATGTTTTTAAATAAAAGATAAATTTGTGCTAAACTTGCAGAGATTGGTATTACATTTATGTTTGTGTCTGAACTTTTAATACCAATATCCAATTTTCTAAATTACTAAAATTTTAGGCACTTATTTTAGTCAGTAACTGATCATTCTAGAGATAATATGAAAAAAAATAACAGGAAATATAGGAAGCTGGACCAACAAAATTTTGAAGTCCTACCAGTTGAGTTCTTTGCACTTGCAGAGAGAAACATACAGGGCAATCTTCTGAAAAGAGATTCCATTTTTATTCACAGAACATACACGCCTAGGAGCAAGGCTAATTTGCATATGTGTACATAATGAAAAGAGATTCCATTTTTATTCACAGAACATACACGCTAATTTGCATGTGTGTACATAAAACATACACATGTGCTTACACACACACTCTTAAATAAGAGTTCCAATGGTTTCTTCCAACTTAGGTTTCAGTTACTTAACTGTAATATACCAATAATTTTGCATAAAGAAATCAAGATATCCTGTATTTTATAAAAATGTACGTTGCCATTATAGAGTTGAGTTTATTAAAAGAAAATATCTCATGAGAAGGAGTCACATGTTATCTGATTAAGTGATAAATGAAATCAATCAAATATAATATCTTGTCCATTTCACTTGGAAAACATGATTAAAGCGATGTAGGTTTAAAATAAGTCCCTTCTCCACCCACCCAAAAATGGAGATACACAAACATACACACACACACACACACACACACACACACTCACTATAATACAATTCCAGAGGCTAAATGCAAAGGAATTGAGGAATTGGATTTCATTGATAAATTGCTTTCTCCAGGGAAGAAGAAACTACCTCTTGGGTCAAACAAACAAACAAAAAGCACTAAAACTTTGCAATTTTATGACCCAAAGTTGCAATTATCTTTCATATTTCCTCAAGATGTTATCGGTGAGCCTTATAAGCAGAAAATGTATTGATCAAGCATCCATGTCAATAAATGTAAGTACTAAACATATTCCCAGAGAAACTCTTAAAGAATACAATTTCTTCAAGAATAGAAAGTGTTATAGGTAAAAGGAATAATTCTAGGATTGTGTCTTATTAATATTTTTGGCTTCACAGTGTGGGGACTCCAGAATCCTTCAATGTGTAAGCACAACATAAAACAATATCCATAATAATAGCAAAACTTACTAAAACATTCAAAATTTGGTCATTTTAATTGACTTTCTCTTTGGATATGATATCAATTGGCTGCTGAAATGATACACCTACAAAACTTGGAATTTTAAAAAAGCTTTATTTATGGGAGATTTGGCATTATTTAAAAAATTTGTTCAGATTTCACTTTTCAGTTTCCAAATGGATTCCTGAGCCCAAAGATGTTTACACTGGGGTCAGAGATAACATTGCCACAGGGCAAACAAACTCTTCTCACCCTATTTGACAACCCAACCAACCCCACTTCCAGAATTTTTTAAATTAAAAAAATAATGACATAACATATTCACTCCCATGAAGTAGTCAGAATTAAACTACTAGTTCCAGATGCCCTTGATACTTCTCCAAGCATCCTTTATGTATTAAGGTCTGTGACCTTAACAACAAGCACTGTTTTCAGGCACTTCCGGTTCTATCATCTTGTAATTCTTCGTTGGGGTTAGGCATCCCTCCCTCTAACTCTCTACCACCATCCCCTCCCCATTTTTTCCCCTCTCACCTTGGCCAAGTTTACGATTTTCATAACATGGCTAAATATCTCAATGCATGCCAGTTGAACATTTAAATGACTGCCTGCACGCGGAGTTCAGACAGTTCCTGGATGTGAATACGACCACCAAGTTATGCATCATTGCAGAACCATCTGAAAATGCACAGACTGTATTCCATCGCTCAAAGCAGAGGAAAAAAAATGATCACCGGATGGGTCAGGCACAGGTTCTGTGATTGTCAAGAAAAATGTAGGCAACGGGTCCTTACCTGCTTCACTGCATGAGGACAGACACATCTATAAGCCACACCAAGAAACAGGTCCCCCAGCCCTGGCTCATCCGCCTTCCTTCCGAGCTGTGACCGTGCTACACCCTGGCGCTGTCCTCTTGGCTTACAGACACTGGAGTGGCTAGAATATGTGCAAGCGCTAGGAGGGCTCTTTGCAACCCTGGCCACCTCCTCCTCTTCCCCAGCCTCCGGTGGGCGGCTCACAGGGCTGGAACCAGGCACCTCATCTCTGGAGGCTGAGCCCCCAGCTTTGCCCAGCAGGGTTCCCGCTAGGAGGTGGTCCCTGCTCTACAAGGCTCCCCGCGTTCTCGACCTGGTTGGTGCAAAGTAAAATGGTCTCTGTTTCAACTCTGGGCGACCAGGAGGCCAGCCATCGGAGCTGGAAACTCCGAGCCAACCGCTTGGATGCGGAGCCAGAGATGCCCAGCGGCCAGAGAGCGCCACCCCCTCTGGGCTGGACACTGAGAAGGCGCCAGTCCCAGCTGCCCCCGCCCCCCCCCAAGAGAGGGGAAACATACACATAAAGCCCAACCGGAAAGCCGGCAGCATGCAATGCCTCCCACCCCTCACTCCTGGCCTTGAACTTCAACCTCACAGCCCAAGCTCCAGCTGCAAGTTGAAATCAACTCCCCCATCCCACCGCCCAGCAGGTCCCTGCCCGTTAGAGAAGGGGAGGGGGGAGGAGGGAGGGATTGGTCAGCAACACTTGAAGCCGGAGCCTGAGAAGTCACTTAGCGGCCCCCTCCCCCCAAAACCCAGCTGATCCCGTGGGAGGCAGGTGGCGACTGGGGTTCCACCAGGCAGGCAGAGGCTGCGAGCCCTCAGGAATTAGTCTTAGGGCAGCTCATTAACAATTAACTCATTAATTAACACGGGCGCAGAAGGCGTTGATAAGAGATGCTCCAGCCCCCAAGCCTGCCCTCCGGCCCGGCAAAGAGGATTTGGCTCCGGTGCGGCCAGAGGGAGGCTGCGAAGGGAGCTTTCAGCCGGGTTGACCCCAACCCCCTCCCGGTGCGCCCCTGGCTCCAGGGCTG